AAAGTACTCAACTGCCAAGTATCCTTGTTTGTCCTTCAGTGGAAAAGCATTACAAAGCCTCTTCAACACGTACTCTGTCAAAGGGACAGTGAAGAACCAAATAAAAGAATTTCAAACCCCAACCAATTACAGTATCCTTAGGCTTTTCCTGAATCTGTGCACTTTATTTCTTCCCATCTCATCAGATGTGATTTAAAAAGAGTCTGCATTTCAAAGGGCACCCTTCCTACGCCCATTAATGGCCTGCTTTGGAATTTATGTCTTAAGAAGAGGGAGACCTCTTGATTTCTTTACAAGATATGTTGATTAGAAGTTTGATAATATTAGGAGGTATTCTGGGAGCTTATTTCAACTAGAGAGCCTGAATTCAGCACAGTTCACTTTTACAGACCACAGAACTGCTTAAACAACAGCCATTTAAATTAGTACATGAACAGGTGTTGTGATTTATAATGTAAACTTAAACATCAAATACAAATAGCCTTTGGGAGACATTCAGAAGACAAAAATCATGCCCGAGAGGCCTTTCTCATCCCTTTTTTTCTGACAAGTAGTTACTTACAGTATTGCTGCATACTATAATACATGACATTCTAGTACTCACATTGCCTGTTAAAGCACTGCAAACACACACATTACCTTCTTAATAAACAGTTGAGATGAATTGTTCCTACTCAGAAGACCTAAAGACTACTACACTGAAATTCTGGAATAGGAAAAATATGAAACCCTATAGATATATATATATATATATATGCAATTCTTAAGAGTGCATGTTTATATGTATTTATGTCTAAATATATAGAATACATGCTGTATAGATATATCTGTGTACATGTATTTATAGAAAATTCAAAGTATTTATTTAAACAGCCCAGCTGAATTGAGTTTCAGAGGTTCTCAACACAGAAGAATGAGCCATGCAGATGACTGACTGTACCCACACGTGCACACGCTCATACGTGCAGTCTCTGTGGTCACGTAGATGACCCATATGATCCTCTTTATGCAGAATTCCCACGAATTCTGTACAATAATATGGATCTGGCCTCAGCAAATAGACTACGTAGGTTTTAAAGATAAAGAGACAGATATATAACCTGGTACAAATATATACTGGCAAAATAGAAAAAGAAGATTGATTCTTAATTAAAAGTTAGGAGATGTAAAGAGCCAAAGAGTACTCTGGCTTATGCTAAAAATAGGAGAGAATTTACTTGTTTGCCTATTTCTCTTCCAGAAGCCAAGCCATACGTTTAGGGGAAAGGCTACACAGATTTCAGAGATTTAATTTTGCACAAGCAGAGGCCATAAATTAAAATACAGCAATCCAATCCCATTAATAGTGCAAGAAAAAGCTAAGTGGTTGCTTTGGTCTTTGCTTTCACAAACTTGTGTCAAGCTCAGTGACTTCAAAGAGATTTCCATTTCATTTCTACAAATGAGGAGAACAGACAGACAGAGAGTCTCTGCCATCCTCTGATGCCTGAAGAAAACAGAAGAAAAACATGCCTGTATCTCATTCGCCTAATGATTTTAGCTGCAAAAGGAATCCTGTGGTCGGCAGATGACCCTCAGGGCAAGGGCTTGAGGTCTGTCACAGTGTATAAGGCTCCTCCAAACCCACTCCATTATCTTCATTATTGTATACCAGGAATAAAAGGGGACTGACTCCTCTTCTGAAGTTCAAGTTAGAAAGGACAGAATGTTTCATGTAAAATAACATTGTGTGACTTCAGTAATAGGTTTATGCCTTTGGGGGCCGAATACTAAAGCTGCATATAAGGATTTTCCACAGAATTTGAGAGAATAAAAATGAGCACTGTATTAGTAACGAGTAAAATTCCACAAGTTTTAGATTCACTGAAACACTCCATGTCTCTGTGTCAGCATGACTCATTGTCAATCACATACTTTCATACAGCAAGGGTAAAATGGCAAGTTTAAAGGTGGGGGGGGGAGGAAAAAGCATGGAGCTTTAGAGCTAAGTATAAACCCCTATGAAAACAAAACAAAAAATAAAACCAGAACTCATACACATATCCAAGGAGGAAAAGGAAGTGACAAGCTTTGGGAAAGTAGGTAGCATGGTTTCCTACAAGGCATATTAACCAAAGGCACATATACAATAAATCAACATGGAAACCATTTATATGAAGAGTGATGCTTCCCTTGTCAGCTCATGCGTGAGTACACGTATGTGTTTATCTAATGCACACATAATGTAAAAATCCTTGTCCTTTACTGACAGAATTTACTAATTTTTTTATTCTTATTTTCTAACAAACATAATTTAAGAAAAACCTCTGCCAGTATCAATAAATATTCTTAAAAACAGTCAAACTTGTTATCAGTATTTTGGAATATCTCACTTGGCCTCAAAACCAGTTTCAGAAAAGAGAATTCCTTTCCCTGACTGATACATGGATGATGACCTAAAGTTGTCTACCCAGCCCTTCTCTGTTTTTCTGATTTTGAAGAAACAGGCCGTTTTAAAGAATGCTTGAAAAGCACGTTTCCCACAGTAATTCAGAAGACAATTTCAAACAATAAAAAGAGAGCAAACATAGCCCATTGTACAAGTTAAATAATATATAAACTTTTGAGTACATAGAGAAATGGGAATCCGGCTCATATCTGGTCTTTGAAAGATTCACAGGAAATTGATTTAATTAAACCTCAACTACTGGTGCAAATGTTTCCCTTTCTTCCCAAAGGGAAATAAAGTATTATATTATTTTTGTTGACATAATGCAGCAAAGCTAACCAAGATTCTCGGTGTTCATCTTACAAAGCTCCACAAACTAGGAAGACTAAAAACTATTACTGAAATACACAGTGATCACAAATTGCTGAATTGTTACCTACATGTACTATCAAAGATTCCCACTTGTAACATCTTATTCATGGGGAAATTCATTAATATGCTAATTACCTGACTAGCAACCAGTGATGACTGACAACTTTACTTTAGCACTACATGAAGAAGACATGACAATAATTTTCTGCTGGAGTTCAAACAGAGAGAGAGACATTGTGCTTCCATCAGTACATACCTCATTTAGGGAAAAAGATTCATATTTGTGGAGGATCTCTAAGAACAGTCTTGCCATCTGCACCCAGAAATATATATTTTTTAATTAGCCACTCTAAAAACAATCATGTTGGCTGAAGGGAAGGGGGAGGGTGACTTGTCAAAATGATGTATTTGTCCCTCACCACCTTTCAATGCTCTTATGCAAGTCTAATTTTCTTCCTAGCTAGCTCACCTCTCTGGCCTCCTTTTGTTTCATGTCCCATTTCCCATTCTCTTCTAACTTCTGAACTTTTGTTAGTTTGCTTTTAAGGAGAAAGGGAAAAAAAGCCCAACTCTTTCCTATTCATTTTTTCCTGGATGGGGAGTAAGCAGAGACATGAATATGGCACCCTCATAATGATTTAACTAGGGCTTAATGAAATTTTCATCACAACCTGCTGTTCAATTTAATGGCCTTTGAAAGACAATAGAACAATGGCTAGAGGGAAGAAAAGATTTTTTGTTGCATGCATTTGCAAAGCCCAACATTCAGTTACTCCCCCTCCTCTCTCTCCCAATCTCTTCACAAAGATGTAGATCTTTTGTTTGTACTGTATATTTTCATTTTAGTAGGGCTGAGATAATGCATAAGCTCTGTAACCATTCTCATGTCTATCTGTGGCCTTTCCTTAATGGAGCTTGTGAAACCTCATACACGGAGTATTTATACATTGCCCAGAACCCCCTGTTCTTTCCTCTCTCTCAGATAAAAGCCTGGTCTCCTTCCCACCCCACCCCACCCCAGTCTTTTCCGTCCAAAGGCACAAGGTATGTTATGGCACCGACTACTAAGTCAATGTAAATGCAAAAGAAACAATGTAAGTAACATTTCAAAAAAAATGCTTGGACAAAGAATTTGCTTCCCAGCAGACCCTGTGTGCTCCAGTCAAGAAAAGACTCATTTACAATCCTGTCATGCTCAGGTATGTGACAATGTGCTTGTGTTTGCATTCATATTTTCATTCCAGTATGCAGGTTGTGCTAAAATTTTCTTGTAGGTACTGTCAATTCATGCTTCCACACTGAAGGGACCTCTGAGGGCCACGTTTTTAAACATTTGAAATACATTTTCACAACAGGACAGGCGAGTGTAAATGAAAATACAGTCTCGTTACTGTGCAGCAGGGCCCAAAAGTGCCCCAAAAATCCGGAAAGCATGCTGGATACCTATGGAGAATGTAGTGAGAACTTCACCTCACAGTTAGGGCCTTGACTCTGCTCCAAATAGGCAAAAATTAAAATTCTTGCTCAAAGGAAAGGTGCTCTGTGGCTTCTCAGAGGTGAGATGGTTGGTCCAAGTCTCAGCCCCCAGAGCCCGAGTGCCACCATCACGGACTGGACATACGGTCTCAAGAAGAAACCAATTCCCCAGAAATTCTACCTACATGCCAAGGCTGAAACTTGCTGGCCAGACATAATGCAGAGAAGGTCTGTACTGTGTTTGTATAGCACCTACACTACAGAGGATGATGTGCTCAACAGAAATGCTTTCGTGAATTCCCAGTTTAACTTCTTACCTTTCAAATAATGACATGCCCACTAGATAATTTCACAAAAAACACTGACACTCCTGATAACACTGTTTTTAGCTCTATAAATGGGGGAGAGGGAAGGAGTGGAGTAAAAGCAATCAGGCAATCAAAACTGGTTCATTGCATCCAAATTGAGGAGCTGTGTCTGTTGCAACTGTGACAAAAAGACCACTAGACTCTTATTTGGGAAAAGCTAAAAATGTTAGCTATGATGGGATATTGCTGAAATTTATCTCTAATGTAGACAAGAACTACGAGGTTTTTACTTCAATTTTGCTATGAAGGAAAAGCAAACAGAGCAGAAAATGGGAAGATTAAAAAGTATACATACCCAAAGAATCAGGAGAAAAGAAAAGAAAATAGAAAATTTTGGCCAGTTTCCCAGGCCTTACCTTCTGGCTCATTTTTGATGAGCTCTTCCATTTTTCTTTGCTTAAGGGTGTCTACAACATCCGCTAGGCTCCCTTTGCGCCTTTCTGGGGTTCCCAGGGCTGTGCTGGACAATGACTCTCCACTCTGACGCCCACCTTCTTCTGCCTTCAAGGGTGAGGTAGATGAGTTGTGCGGGGCAAATGAAGACATCACTTTATTGCCATCAACTTCCTGAAAGGGGAGAAAAACAAGATGAAACATTTCTTTCTTTTCCTAAAGAAGAAGAAAAAAAAATAAAGACGTAAAGAAAGAAAGAACAATCCTTTGTGCTTTGAGTTCATTGCTGTTTGTTCTTCTGTTGAAACCTTTAAAAAGGCATGCAATGCTTCAAAAACACCCAGAACAAAGCCTTCCCATAAAGCATAAACCAAGATTACAGGCTGGAGTGAACAAAGATCAGCCTGCAAGAGAGAAACATAAAATACAGTTTTTCCCTAATTGAGAAGTGTTGTACTCATAGGTTTCCTAATAACAATGGTATTGATTACCTTTAATTGTTTGTTCTTTTACAACTTTCCTTCTTAAAAAAACCTTCAATTTTTACAAGGACCATTAATTTCCTGACTTTATAAAGTACTTAATGCCTTGATGGCTAGTTGTTGTAAGAAATAAAATAGTAACCAAATACTAAATGCCCTTCGCCATAGGACTTATTTTAACTCACAGTTCAAGCAGGTTTCCCATCTATAAAGGACGAAGCAATTTCTTTCTGCATTCTAATTCTCTTTCTATTCTCTTCTTCTGCCTCAAACCTTCATTTCTCATAGAGACAGTATTTTTCACAAAGGGGGTCCTAATGACTTTCACTGGCAGCACAATGGCAAAACTCTGTGACTTCCTGGAACATACACACAACCCTCCTCACGTGAGAGTCCACAGAGGTCTACTCATTAATTTTAATGGAAAGCAAAACTGGGTCCAGCATCTTCAAACTTGCCTTCATTAATGTGAGAGCCTTCTCCTCCACGCCTCCTCCAACATAAAACAATGTTCTCTGCACGTATTCCTTTTATGTCTCTGTTATACCCTACGCTTCTTACATGTCTCTCAAACTCATTTCTTCCTCTGCTAACATGTGCCATCTATAGCTGCAAAACTTCGGTCAGTGTCTCCAAACGCAGCTTGCTGCAGAGTACATACACTGCATAAAATATAACGCTATAAAAGTGTGTAGTTTTTACTTTGATCTGATTTTCCAGGTATTTTTTTTCACTATCTTATTTCATTTTTGTACTCCAGATGTTCATTGAATATTATTTCTAAAAAAGCCACTGCATCATCTTGTGAGCTGAGTTACAGACTTGGCTGAAAAAGTCGTAATAATTTTTAAATTGTTTTCATTTTATAGGGTATGAAAGTGATACAAATATATATATACATGCACACAGTTTTTAGTGATTTGTATTATAATAATTTTTTTCTGAGCAATTTTTTATGTCTCTGCTCTAATAAACCACAGTATTTCAGGGAAAAAAAAGTATATTTTTGTAAACAGAACATAAATTGCTAAAAATTATCTCAATAAAATCTGAATAAAGCTACACAGAAGATGTGCAATAACAAATATATTTGTTTTCGCAGACTACTTTGTTGTGGCAAAAAGATTACCTTTGCTTAAGAAAACTTTTAATGCAAATAGTTTTGAGCAGCTTGAATGTGTTATACTAGTGAATAAATTCCCTAACAGAATCGGATTTAACTGAGATTACAATCTGGGCCATCATATGCCCCAAAAGCCAAACCCAGTGCTGTTAATGAGAGACTTTCTACTGACGTCAATGAGCTTTTGACCAAGCCCTAAAAAATTTTCCGACTCTAGTCAACAGAAATGCTCCTTTTTTTCCTTTTTTTCTTGCAGCTCCCTCCATTTTTATTTTGCACACGGAAAATTACTAGTTCCAAACACTGGACTTCAAGAATTAATTGAAGCCAAATGCAATTTTTTCCCCCCATATACAGACCTGAATAAACTAGTTTTTAACACCAATCTAGATGAGGCAAATAGTTAACTTCAGCATCAGTTCAGATTTTATCTAAGATTCAAACCTATTATCACCAAGTGGTAATTTTTTTTTTCCTACAGACAAGGCCAAATGAGGAAGTATCTTAAAAGCTGCTTTCTTATTCACACTTTGAATCAGATATGCCAAATACCATCATTAGTTACAGTTTTTAAATCTACCTGTACCATCAATTAAATACAGGATATTTAATAGGATATTAAATACTGTTCCTCATTTGACCAGGAATTAGTTTCTTGTTTTAATCCAAAGCAGGCCCCAAAGACATTCACTCGTGTTTCTTAATGTCACACACTGGTCACAGACACAAAGTACTTGCAACAACTGCCTAAACCTCAGGTGTCATCACTGCTGTTCTCATGCACATTTCAGGTGCAAGCAAGTGGGTTTTTTTATGTACAAACATATTCTGAGTAGAAAACCTGTTTGTTATAAGAGAAGTCATGTAAGAACACAATATTATGTAAAGCAATATCAGATGATTTTCAGAATCACAAATTGCTTGGCTTTCAAATGGAACTCACAAATATTTTCAAAACTACTCAAATTTCTCTGTCTCACTTTCTGGGGAAAAGGAATTGTGGGGTGGAGAGATCAAGGCAGTTGTCTGTGAGCAAAGCATCATGAAAGGAGTTCTGGATACTCAATTCCTAATTCTTTCAGATGTTCTGTGGAACCATGCTTAAAGTCACTTTCGTGTCTGCATTTCAGTTTCCTATCTGTAAAACAGGCACAAAAAAAGTAATTTCTTATATTGCAAAGGTTTTGGAATGATAAACTCATTAATAACAGAGACATCCTTCTCCTACAATGTTGGCTAAAAGCCTTTATATAGTACAACAGTTAAAAAGACTTGATAGCTGTATTAAAAAAAAGGAAAGAGAAGTGTTCTACACAGATTTTTTTTTAAAGGTAAATTTTATACTAAAATATACATCTGAGCAATCATCCCCAAAATAAAAGTTTCCTTTGACTGCTCTTGTTAGGTGTGCATGTATGCAGTGTTTGTATATCACATACATGGGCTATTTATACACTTGTGGGGTTTAAGATACACTCCTCTTAATCAAAACACATATACAGTAGGGGAACAGCTGCAATCACATCTCAGTGGGCTAAATTACAGTACACCAGTGAATTATTCATTCAAAAAGATCTGTAGCAATCACACATACATTGCGTGATTTGCAATCTAAGAGGGATCCTCTCCTTTCCATACCAGCGGATGAGAGCACACATCAGCTTCTGCTGTTGAAGACAGTTCAACGTGTATCCTCTAGCATACCAGCTCAAGAATCTGTCTTCCCCACTTGTCCATGATCTTTTTATTCTGTCATTCAGAACAACAACCTGAAACGTGCAACTGTTATCTTGGCTTTCGCTTTACATTCCTCTGCTTGATTTGCTCTTTCTTATGGCATTACTGGAGAAAGTGGGTCTGGATTTTTACCTCTAGCATGTAAAAAGAAACCATCCTTTCACATAAAACCTGCTTGTGTCAACGGTTGTATAAAGCTGAAAAACTTCTAGTAAAGAAAATCCTCTGATACTGCATATGAGAGCTTAACTATCCCCTTGAAAACACTTGGAGAAATCCTTAATGGCAAGAAAGATATGTCAGCAACAGTTTAAAATTAATCCTCTGAGAAGGAAGTTCCCTCCCAACAAGCAAGATTTAGCAGGTTCCTTTTCTAAAAGGACAAATCGACATGACTTTTTTTCAGTTCAACTGGGAGAAAAGCAACAACACTGTAAGGAGTGGTATTAAAGAACATAAATATCTACTAATGACACTTTAGAATTAAATCCATCAAGCCACACAAAAGACCTATCGGTCACCAAACCAGTGGAAAACCACGCTTTTACTGTAAAACAGTCTCTCTCAGCTGCGTAACCATTTCACCTGTTCAAGTTTGATTACATTCCAGCCTCTGGCACTGTTAATCCCGGTAACAGTTTTATGCAGTTAGCAGCTGCTTGGTGGACGGGGCTCTATTGTTCATTTGCATTGCGAATAGCTCTGCTAATGTGTGCTGGCACAACATTTCCTCCGACTCTGAGCTGGGATTGTACTCACCAACACCTGATGCTGCTGCTTCTCGCTCTTCCCACTTCGGAAAGGCAGGCAAGGACCTACACAGATTGTCCTGAAGTGAACACCCTAGGCCCTTCTTTCCCCCACAACGACAGCAACAAAAAAAGGAACTGGCCCTCGTTTCGCGTCTTCTGCTTCTGTTCCAAGCTAGAATCCACGGGAAGACTCATTCATTTACAAGAAAGTTGCCTCGATATTGCCAAACAGCTTTCCACCTATGGAGGAAATACCTCTTCCAAGGTTTAATGATAAAACAGGCTTCTGCCCTTTCAGGATGAGGTCAATAATCTTCCTTTGTTAATCTTGGGCAAGCTTTACTTAATCTAGCCCCCTTGTCACCTTTGTGATTGACAGGAAAAGTCGTGTCACTGGACAATGGACTTATCCTCACTGAGCAATATCTTTTTTGAAGATTACACAATGTTACCCTTGCTCTCATAAAAAGTGCAAACATTTTGCTGTTAAAAGAAACTATTCATTCCAACTGTATCTTTCGAATTGTCTCTTTCTGTTTCCAGGGTCCAAGTGAGGCCTATTTCAGTTCTACAGAGGAACAGTGAAAGGCTTAATGAAAAGAAACAGGTTGTACTTGGTGAAATTTCCAAAATATCTCTTAGTGCTCTAAATAGATTTCATCTTTTCCTTCTTCATCTAGAGATGCACGTTATTCCTGTCTGCAATTAAACTCAAACAGAAAACTCTGCTTCCGTGACATTAAAATTTTGTCCCAAACCAACCAAGAATCGAAGCAGAATAAAACTCAAAACTAAGTCTGAAACTGTTAATTACCACCATATGGTATGAAAGGAGGCTGCATCTGCAGGGGGAAGAAAAAAAAGAAGAAAAAAGATATCATGAGAATCTTCTGGGTTTGCAGCCAAAAACACCTGGAATAAAATACTTGTGTCTTTAAAACAAGCACTGATATTGTCTGATTTTAAGAAGTTTGTGATCCTAAAAGCAACCTAACAGGTTTTTTTTTTTTTTAAAAGCTGGAATTTTGCCCATACTTCTTTCTTTTAGAATGTGTAAAGAAGATACAAGAGCAGTATTTT